CTCAAGTACTACTGGCGCGAGTTCTACGACAAGGCAGGCACGGCCGTGCGCTCCAATTTCGAGCGCTATGTGGAGCTGGTCAATAAGGCTGCCAAACTGAATAGTACGCGGAAACTGGCTGGAGATTCCTCAGAAATCATTTTCACACTTGTCCCTTCTCTCAGATTTCACCTCTGGCGCGGAGTTCTGGTTGGATGAGTACGAGGACGACACCATCGAACAGCAGTTGGATAACATCTTCGCCGAAATCCGCCCGCTCTACGGGCAGATCCATGGTTATGTGCGCTACCGCCTGAGGAAGTATTACGGCAACGATGTGGTCTCTGAGAACGGACCCATTCCCATGCATCTTCTCGGCAACATGTGGGCGCAGGAATGGTCTGAGATCGCGGACATTGTTTCTCCCTTCCCCGAAAAGCCACTGGTGGATGTTACCGAAGAAATGGAGAAACAAGGGTACACCCCCCTCAAGATGTTCCAAATGGCCGATGACTTTTTCACCTCGATGAACCTCACCAAATTGCCGAAGTAAGATTGAAGATTGCTATAATTCCATGTTGAGCCTGGATCCAAATCTATTTGATCTACAATAGGGATTTCTGGGACAAGTCTATCATCGAGAAGCCCACGGATGGTCGCGACTTGATATGCCATGCCAGCGCCTGGAATTTGTACATCAAGGACGATGTGCGCATCAAGCAGTGCACCCGCGTCACCCAGGAACAGCTGTTCACAGTCCACCACGAGGTGGGTCATATTCAGTATGCCCTGCAGTATCAGCACCTGCCCTTCGTGTATTTGGCCGGGGCTAATCCTGGCTTCCATGAAGCCGTTGGGGATGTGGTCTCCCTGTCCGTTTCTACGCCCAAGCATCTGAAAAGGATCGGCCTGCTGTCGAACTATGTTCGCGATGACGAGGCCCGCATCAAACAGCTATTCTTCACGGCTCTGGAGAAGATCGTGTTCCTGCCGTTTGCTTTCACAATGGACAAGTACCGATGGGCGCTGTTCCGCGGGGAGGTCGAGAAGGCAAACTGGAACTGTGAGTTCTGGAAGTTGCGTGAGCAGTATTCCGGCATCGAGCCTCCGGTTGTGCGCAGCGAGAAGGACTTCGACCCCCCTGCCAAATATCACATATCTGCCGATACCGACTATGTTAGGTTTGTTTGGTCATCTCTCGATGATGATGAGCTTCAGTTGTGACGTAATTTGGTGGTTTCTCGCAGGTACCTGATCTCCTTCATCATCCAGTTCCAGTTCTACAAGTCCGCCTGCATTAAGGCTGGCCAATACGATGCCAACAATGCGGAGCTGCCCCTTGACAACTGTGATATCTACGGCAGTGCAGCAGCAGGCGAAGCCTTCCAGTAAGGGCTGCTCTCAAATAAGTTACATTGTTTTCTAATCCATGGGGATCCTTTTGTCCACTCCACAGTAACATGCTCTCTATGGGTGCCTCCAAGCCCTGGCCCGATGCACTGGAGGCCTTCAACGGGGAGCGCATCATGAGTGGCAAGGCCATTGCCGAATACTTCGAACCCCTTCGCGTCTGGCTGGAGGCGGAGAACATCAAGGACAGTGTTCACATCGGCTGGACCGCTTCAGATAGTAAGTTATATACTCCCGATCCACTATTGAACTCTCGAATAATCCATTACTTTTCTCCCCCTTTACTTCAGAGTGTGTGGCCTCTTAAATAAAGTACCTTCTGTTCTCACACAGTTCATTGCTCAATAAAGTTTATAATTGCCTTACCAGTTTTAAATTATTTATACGAACGAGTTTTTAAGAGTTTCTACATTCAAATGTTTGTATACCCTCGTAACACAGAGAGTGCACGTCGAATTGGTAGGTATGCTTTTTGCGTAAAATCAAATTCTCATTCTAGTACAAGCGTATCTAATACAAGGATGGATTGGCTTCGTTGGTCGAAAACACTCAAGCTAAGTTAGTTTATTCCTCGTACACATCTCGCCTCAGTCAGCCAAAAGCTGAGCACAGGGAACACTGGCACAGTGTCATACCCGCTCCGTGCTCCACTTGATTATAATTAAAAATTGGCTACTGGGTGCTCAGCCAATAGTCGACTGGGCTTCTGGCCATGGCCTCTGTCGTCGGCCTCCGTTGGTTAGTTGGTATCGAGAGCTGCGCCGGCGCAGAACGTCTGAAAAAGTTTGCGAAGGTTGGATATTGTGCCGGGAATTTAAATGAGCGACAACTGAGTTGCGAAAGTAAATTTGTACGAGTAGAAAGTGTGGGACTATGGGGAGGTTGTTGGTGGTTTTGGTGAGTCCAAGCGCCGTTGAAGTGTTGCCCAAAGGAGATGATTTCAACATGACATCCCTTCCATTCAGATCTTTGTAGGCTTTGTCCTGCCTAGTTCCTCGACTGACTCTACTTTGACTACCTTCCTCGTAGAGGCCAACCAACAACTGGACGGCTGGAAATAGCGGACGAAAAGCTGCTGAACTACCTAAAATCTCTGATGCCTCATCTGGCAAAGTTCAAGCGTTTGAAGTTGGGGGATGCCAGCCAGAAGAGGCAGCTGGAGAGGATACCGAGGCTGGGCTACAATGCCTTGGATGGCATGGAGCTCGCTCAAGTTTATGCGCTCGCCTCCAACATGAGCGACAGCTACCGCAACGTCCTACTATGCGCTTATAAGCAGCCAGGGAATTGCACTTTGCGGCTAATACCAGAGGTTCAGGCAATAGTCCAGGAGAGCCGTGACCTGGATGAGATCGAGTACTACTGGTATGAGTGGCGAAAGCAGACTGGACTGGCCACTCGGGATCAGTTTGTGGCCTTCATGGAGTTGTATAAGAAGACCGCCCAACTTAATGGATATCCGCGGGCCCAAGATTATTGGTTCCGATCGCTGGAGATGGGCGGAGCGCAGACCATGTCATTGCTGGATCGGCTGATGGCTGGACTGAGGCCGTTGTTCCTTCAGTTCCACGCTCATGTTAGGGGTTCCTTGAGAAAGATGCACGGAGAACGGTTGGTGCCCCGGGGCAGACCGTATCCACAGCATCTGGCCGAGGTCTTCATAGGAAACGCCTTTAGACGGGTTCGTGCCGAGTGGTATGTGGACTTACCATCGCCCCCCATCGGCTGGCAAATATCACCCAAGACCTCCATCGTCGCGGGTTGAGCACTACGCAGAGAGTGTTCTGGAATGTGGCCGAGTACTTTAGGGGACTTGGTCTGCCATTGCTGGAAAGGTAATTCCGATAAAACAGATATTCTCCAGCAAGGAATTTTCAAAGTGATCTCTTCCAGCTCCCTTTGGACAAATGCTCAGGTCGTGGCTGCTGATGATGACGACCGTTGCTGGCACAAGGTCTGGCGGTATTACACCCTTCCCATAACCAACTTCACCTACTGTCCCCTAAATGACGAGGAGCGTTTCCTCAATATGTTTGAGGCCCAGAGTGATCTTTATTACAACCGAGCTGCCTCCGGCCAGCCAACCCTGTTGCGCGATGAACCCTTTCCCAGCTTCGGCGATGCCATTGGCAAGTGCTTCTCCCTGGCGGCCACCTCTCCACGCTACCTTCAGAAGTTGGGCTTGCTGCAGGAGGGAAAGTGGCTCGAGTTGCCCGCTCGACTGAACCGCTTGTATGTGCACGGTCTGCGTGTGGTCTTCCTGCTGCCCGTCTTCTATGTCCTCGATCGCTATCGTGTGGAGGTCCTAAGTGGACACATCCGAGCGGACGACAACGAGGCCTACTGGCGACTGACGGAACATTACACGGGAGCGGCAGCCCCTCGGAAACGCAGTAACGAACAGTTTGACGTCCCAGCCAAGTTGCTTATGGAGGTGGATGACCAGTATGCCAGGTTGAAAGCCTATGTGGAGAATCTCCTAGCAAATGTCTTGATCAATTATCCCTTTCAGCAACATCCTGAGCACCGTTCTACAGTTTCAGCTGCTCAAGCATTACTGCACATCGACGCTTCAGTTCGGAAAGGATAACCCTAGGAAAGCTTTGGATCTCTGCGATATTTCCGACCAGCGTCAGATCGGTGCCAGTCTACAGCGTGCCATGGCCCTAGGCTCATCCGTGCCCTACAGTGACGTCCTGCAGGAGTTGGTGGGTGAGCCGGAGATCAATATTGATGGGTTGTTGGCCTACTTCAAGCCCCTACACGATTGGTTGGTGCAGCAGAATCAGCTACAAAATCTGGATGTGGGTTGGGCATAGAACACATAGTATTAAAAGAAAAAATGAATTTTTTGTTTCTGAAATTCCATAAGGTTACAAAAATCAGAGTGAAACCATCGAAAATTGGGGCGTTGACTGTCAAGAGTAATGTGTTGTTGAGCCTTTGTATACGCATATCTCGGGAAAATGTTTCACTTTGGGGAAATAGGTCCTTCCCCATACTATTCTAGGGCTAGACGGTAATTGGGAAATATAGTTTATATCCGTATTTTTGGTGCCCTTCTCGTACCTGAAAGTAGGGAACAGGATGTTTTTTTACCTACTATTGAATCTTTTTCGTTTACAACGCTTCTGTTTAACAGCATTTTTATTTTTCGATGAAGATTATGAATGGTTGGGAATTTCCAACTCAGCCTGTAAGTATGCCTTTTATTGTACAGTAGAATTCATGTCAAATTCATGTGGAAATGTAATTGAAGATGTGACCTTTCGAGACAATTTAATCGTTGGAAACTAGGGTTCCTAGAATTATCCCAAAAATAATTTAAGTTTAAGGATTCGAGAACATGACTATAGACGATGGGCATAGATGCCGAATTATTAGTTGCATACAATTCAACATCAAATTAAAATGCTAAAGAAATCGAAAACTTTGTGAAGGATTCTTTAAAGTTATCATCTATGAATCGTGCCGTCCTTCATCGAAATACGCTTAAAGTTTCAGTATTTAAACGCACCTTGCTCTCTGATTTTAAAATCAACTTATTACTCAAAATAAAAATGGAATATCAAATAAATGAATGAATACAAAATTCAAAATTGAATGTCGTGTTTCGGTACCGCTAAAACATGTTTACCGACGGTGTCTTCTCGTGCGAGTTCGAGGTATATGGTAAGGTCCAAGGCGTCTATTTCCGGCATCATGCCATGATCAAGGCCAAGACCATGGGACTTCGGGGCTGGTGCATGAACACGGCAAAAGGCACTGTCAGGGGCTACATGGAGGGGCGGCTTCCCGAGATCGACGTGATGAAGGAGTGGCTGAAAAACACGGGCAGTCCCGAGTCGAATGTCGAGAGGGTGAAGTTCAGTAGGCCACGTGAGAAGGAAGGATATGGCTTTCCCAATTTCCACGTCAGAGCCGATGGCTATGCAGAGACTCCAGTTCCAAAAAAAAACAAAAGAGTCCGACTATATTGAGTCAACCCCAAAACCAAAAGAATATTAGCATTAAAGAGCATCTCAAATGGAAGATTTCTGGGCCTGGGATCTCATCAGCTCGATCTGGACTTACCCGGTAAATATTTGCAATGATGATAAACTCGTAAATAGAGCCTTCCATTGTCTTAAAAAGATACCGGAAAGAGTCTAAAACAAAGGCACAACACAGGCGTGCAACTATAATTAAAATGCACTTGATTATGATGACTCTCAGAGGCTCTTCACTCGACAGCCACTCATTAGAACCGAACAAATAACTATAGCTAAGGAATAAAAATAAAAATAAATATTAACTGCAGTACGTGCTTGGAGTGCGTCACTCTAAGCGCTCTTCGCTTTGCCGGGCATTGGGTATTGAGTTACACTAATTATTCATTCGTGTAAATTAATTATTTACGGACAGTTGACAGCCAATACTACAATATTTTCCCACGGTTCGACTAGTCCAGAACTTCTGTAAGATCTGGTATGGACGGGAGTTGAGAGAGCCATGCCTGACCTTGACTCTCAATTAGCTTTTTCCCCCAAAAAAAATTGTGCCTTTATTTCAGGTAAGAATATATCACTGAGCAGCCAACCACATCATAAATCTGGCTAATATTTATGAGCTCATATCCGAGACAGATAGACTTTGCAGATCCCAATCTAATTACAGACTGAATCGCACATGTGGGTACATATGTATGTATATTTGTATATGTGTATAGTATATATAGGTACATTCATAGCATGCATTCGCATCTGGACGCCACTGGGATAGCAATCAAGCAATCAATCAGCATGCCAACTCATTCACTGTACTCGGGTGGCCAGTCACCAAGCACCAGCTATCACCTCTACGGATTGCTCTCTCCTTGTGCATACTCATGTATCTGTAAGTTTTCTGTGAGTCAGAACTTTGATCACTAGATCACTGGGTCAGGCCCGACTGAAAATATTCCACATTCCAAAAATAAGGGTGGTAGTTGTTAACAAGCAAACTAGATGAATAAACCAGGAATTAATGCCCGAAGCTTAAACTTCTCCAACAAAATATGTATCGTTATTACGCGACTATGATACGTTCAGGATTCAGACCCTGTGTTTTGGGTAGGGTGTTATTTGGAGTTTAATTGATATTTTGTGTCGCCCTGTTGCTAGTCGAAGGCCAAACAGATGCCAAACGCATTAGTTCTAGAGAACACATACCCATCATCCCAAACATTTTCCACATTTCGCTGGGTCAAGAGCGACAATCAAGAAATTCCACAAATGCGGGTGGCGGCGCTGCCTTGTGGAACGCATGCGCAACATCAGCGCCAGCTGCGGCGAATAGCCGATCAGCAACAAATTTGCCTCGCTCTACGGGTCACTGATTTGCATTCAGGTGCTTTAGGCCGGCCACAGCAAATAGGGGGAAGATTAGTGTTAAATTGGATGGGGGTGGCGGTGACTGTTGCTCAATGAGGGTCTGAGCTATCGTTAGCTTACTTAGCACAGATAACCAGCGACTCACGTTGAGTGACTTCTGGATGTCCCCACCGACAGAAACAGAAACAGCAACAAAAACAGAAACTCACTCAATCGTTATGTACTTTCTCACAGTCGCTGGGGCTTGGCTTGGGGCTACAAGTACGAGTACCAGTACGGGTATTATGCGGTTAAGCTTTTCGACTGATAAGTGCCCTCACCCTCCCTTATAATTGCCAACATGCATGCACAACACAGATACACACGCATACAGGTGCCTCATTGTTGTTCACAAGCTTATGGATGATTTGATTGTACGAGTAGTTGTTGCTGCAGCAGAGAGACGTCGACAGAAGCAACATCGCCGGAGACCGAGTCCCAGTGCTAATTGCGATTATCTCACACGAAAATATATAGAAACATCTGACGACAGCGCCGGCAGCGACGCTGGCTGCAGCTGGGACTGCGCTCAAATTTGAATTCATTTTCGAGTTGGAAAAAAGTAACAAAGTAATTTCGAATAATATTCTTACCGTCTAGTCAGTAGAGTTTTAGACGCGATCGTTCCATGACGTTACGTGGGCGGTACGAGATCTTGTGCTCTGTCAAAGGGAGAGAAAAAAGTGTCCCAAAGAGTGAAAGCTATTGTGTCTCACAGATCACTTTTTCGATCAGTAAAGTTCTTTGACACTTACAGGCATGGTCTAAGAAAATCTTGTGATTGCAATTAAAGTACTTAATTGCTTGTGAAAGATTTAATAAGTGAGCTGTCAGTCCCGACCTTGGCAGTGTGAAATATAGATTTTAAGATAAGCATAATGCACGGTGTTTTGCCCACATGCTCTTTTTGGCTTTGCCTTTGTCTTGGCCTAGCCTGGGCCAGTCCACAGCTTAATCTGCCGACCCCACAGCCGGAGATCTCCTACAATGGCTACACCCCCAACGTGGCTACGACGCCCGCCCAGTTGAGGGCGGATCGTAATCGCGACCAACGCTACGGGCCGCCCTATGCGGACGATGTCGGCGGGGGAGCCGCGGATGACGGATCCGATGACTTTAGGGTGTGTTTTTACTTTCAGGCTAGGCTTTCCCTTGGCTCATTGGTATGCCCATTAACCCGGTGATCTCTCGCTTGCAGTACGGCCAGACCTATGACGAACGCATGAGAATAGGCTATGCCTATCCCTCGCCGCGTGTGAACTTCAGCGAGCACCCTGACTCACCCTTCAGCGCGGATGCCAATCAGTATGCCAACCACAACTACGGTCCGATCTCCAGCACCACCGATCGCAACTCTGGAATTGATCCCAACGCCAACGGCCGATACTCGGATGTCCCCTACTCCACTCCAGACAACAGGAACTACAACCCCAACGACCAGTACAACTATAATAACAATCCCAATGTGGATTTTGTGGGGGTGAACAACCGGAATCGCTTCGAGAACCCCTTCCTGTCCAACCAGGACCGCTTCAACCTCAATCAGGGCTACCTGGAGCGGCAGCGGTACCAACAGGACCGTCGCTACCAGCAGGAGCTGGAGAAGCTGCGCACTCTGTTGGTGGAATCCGATCAGAAGGGCTCCCTGGAGTGCATGGCCAACGTGGCGGCCCAGTGGAATTTCGAGACAAACGTAAACGATTTTACACAGACGGAAGCGGTGAGTAGTCTCGGGTAAACCTCGAGCAAGTACAGCTCGTACTCTAACTCTTACTCGTACTCGTACTCGTAATTGTGGTTGAACGGCACGCGATCTTCGTGGTGGTGGTGCACCTTTTTCCCATGTACCTAAGGCTGGCTGGCTTGTGTTCGCAGTTTTCGTACAGACCACAGACACACACAGAAAAGTCAAAAAAGTTGCGTTCTGAAGGTCGAGTTGCCTTGTCAGATTCCCAGGCAGACATGCCAATGTCAAAGAGTTCTCATACTACAGTATGAGAGTTTTTGCAATCGTGAAAAGTTGTACGAGTATGTACTTATCGGTGCTGGAGGTAGACATATGAGCGGCCCTAATGTTTTACTTTAGTGAAGACCAAGCTACGAAAGTCCTTCTACTAAAATGTAACCTCTTCTCATTCTCACCCCCCAGCTTAATGCTCAACAACGCTATGTGGAGTTCCAGCGAATCACGGCGGAACAGTCGAAGCGCATTAACAAGGACCTCATCTTTGATCGCCGCCTCTACAGACAACTGATGTTGCAGTCTGAAGTGGGGCCCAACGCTCTGCCCTTGGACGTTCTAGACAGGGTGAGAGCTCCGTGCATTTAGCCAATGATCCCATATTTTTAAAGCTCTTGTTCCTATAGTACAATCGCCTGTTGAATGAAATGCTTTTCCTATACAACAGCGCCAGTGTCTGCGCCTACCAGCAGCCATTCCAGTGCGACCTGCACTACATACCACACCTCAAGGACATCATGGCCAAGAGTAGGGATTGGGATGAGCTACAGCACACGTGGGTGGAGTATCACCGAAAAGCCGGACGTGGAATGCGCGACAGCTACGAGCAGCTCATTGATGTAATGCAGGAGGTGGCCTATGTGAACAGTGAGTTCGAAATGCACACTTTCCTAGTCGGTCTCACAGCTCTGCTCTTGTAGATGTGACCAATGGCGGCGAGTACTGGTACCTGGCTTACGAGTCGGGCAACTTTCGCCAGGATATGGATATTGTGTGGGAGCAAATCCGTCCGCTGTATGAGGCTCTGCACGCCTATGTGCGAAGGAAGCTTAGGGATTACTATGGACCGGACCGCATTAACCGCATAGCCCCCATTCCTTCTCACATTCTGGGCAACATGTTCGGCCAGTCGTGGTCGAATGTCCTCGACATACTCATTCCGTATCCAGGTCGCAAGTTGATTGATGTCACACCCCGCATGGTTGAGCAGGGATACACTCCGCAGCTGATGTTCCAGCTGGCCGAGGAGTTTTTCACCTCCATCAACATGTCCGCCGTCGGACCGGAGTTCTATCGGAACTCGGTATTGGAACAGCCCCTGGACAGGAGGGTGCTGTGCGAACCCTCGGCCTGGGACTTCTGCAATCGTCACGATTTTCGTGTCAAAATCTGCACCGACATCAATCAGCGGAGTCTGATCAGCGTGCACCACGAGATGGCTCACATTCAGTACTTCCTTCAATACCGTCATCTGCCCAAGGTCTTCCGGAATGGTGCCAATCCGGCCTTCCATCAAGCTGTGGGCGATGCCATCGGGCTGGCCGTGTCCACTCCAAAGCATTTGCAGACATTGGGCCTACTTCAACGATCATTGGATGAGTCCAGCTATGACATTAACTACCTCTTTACTATGGCCATTGACAAGGTACGAGTGATTCGAAAGACAGATTCTTTGAGCTCCAATATGATAACGAAACTATCTCCCAGGTGGCCTTTCTGCCCTTTGCCTTGTCTTTGGATAACTGGCGCTACGACGTCTTCAGCGGAAATGCGAACAAGCGAACTATGAACTGCCATTACTGGAATATGAGGTGAGTGTGGAGCAGTTTGGAAAGTATCCCACGCTTATATGCATTTTCCCTACACTTAGGGAAAAGTATTCTGGTATCAAGCCGCCTGTCCTGCGATCTGAGAAGGACTTCGATTTGGGTGCCAAGTACCATATACCGGCAAATATTCCGTACATCAAGTAAGTGCTGAAAGTTCTTATGATTTCTTTAACCAATCCTTGGATTGCATAATTATTGGCAAGCATTTCTCTAAGTTAATTATTTGCCACATAACCAGGGCAATTAGAGCCCGACTATGGCATGTTATTAATTTTGCTATTTCTGATTACAATTCACACACGATTTCAAACATTTTCCGTCAAATTGCCGGCGATTACGCGCTGCGATCGCTGGATCGCTGGATCGGCGAACCGGCCGTGGAGTTGGCCCACTAACATCACATAATGACCAGCACATACTCATACAAAAAACTCGTGTGTGTGGCTTGGTGGAAAATGAAATTAAAATGAAACTCACACTAAAGCTGAAGCTGAAAACTCACATGTCTGCAATGTTTCCCGCATTCACTTTCCACTTGGCTGCTGCCGCCGAACCAAGCGGGACTCGACCGGGTTTCGGCTGGCCGTCATTTGAATAGGCCGAGACGAAAACTGTTGCGAAAATCTAGACAACACACGATATGTCCATCAACTGTGCAGGCTTTGGTGCCGAATGCCGGGTGCCTAACTCCAGCCGCTGACCCATTTAATTATAAATGTCTCGAATTTGCCTTTGTCGCGTCAATGCAATTTGCTTATGGCGATGTCAATGGCTGGCTTAGTTTGGACTGAATATACTGAAAAAACTACTCCGAAGGCTAGATAGAAAAACATGCAGCTGAGACTGGTAGCATGCAATTCCATTAATATGTTCACTTCGCCTCTTGGTCTCTCGTAATGCTGAATAGTTTTAAAATAGTTCAGTCTGGACTCCAATTTGATTTGAATTTGATTCAGCGGCTTGGCACCTCTTTCAAGGCGACTAACAAATACCCATTTAAATAAGGCTCAGCATTTGGTTGAATAAATAATAGCTTCGTAGTTTTCCAAGTACCTTGACATGCTTCTGTTTCGTTAGGACGCTGATATTGGCCAAATATTATCATGGCTTTGCTTCAGAACCCATGCAGAATGGCATTCAGAACTACGGGTTAAATGTGTACTCTATTGAAAGTGAAGTTTAATTAACTGCGAGTCCGATTCTCCACCAGAGCCATTATCCAGATTTTTATGGCAGCCATTCTTTTGGCATTAGCCGCACGCTTCTGTGGAATAGGGGCGGCTGGGACGGAGGATTACAGCACCAGTTCAGGCTCTGTGTTGGCGATTATTTATTGCATAATCAATAAACTGCAAGCGCTACAGTTACATAAACAAAGGCTACCAGAAACAACTGGCCGCCGAGAGAGTTCGCCTCAATATGGTAATAAAACGGAGCTGCGGCACAGCTCTCGACGCGATGGTTTTTGTTTTCCTTTTGCATGGGGCTCCAGCTGGTCGACGGGGCTCTAATGCTCAAATATCGGTTAGCAGCACATGTCCTACAAACCAACTGAGGAAAAACGTGATAAATCCATGTCCCACTTTATTTAACCCACTCTGCAAATTGCAGCGGCTTCAATGAAGCCGAAAATGCAAATTGAAACCCAATCTTTGTGGTCGATGCAACAACCCGGGTCGGCCACAGGCAGCGAAACCGCACTAAAAAGCGCATACGTACATACTCGTTGTATACTATATACATATACGAGTAATCGTGCATAAAAGTCCGAGCAAAAGCAAAACAGCGCACTGCTGGTGCTAATAAAAAGTAATGCCCACACCGCACAGTAAACGCTAGGAAGTGGACGCCAGTGCAGCCGGAGACGTAGTCGGGCCCAATGCCGGCTAACTCTGGGCATTGGCTGTGGCTGTGGCAGGGGCTGCGGTTGCGGCATGAAGAGCGAAATGATACGAACGAGTATAGTGTGGAAAATGTAATAAACATGTTGAGCTGTCTCCGCTGCCTCCTTCACTACTCCTGCCTCCTGGCCGGCTGTCTGTCGGTGGGCGAGACACTTTGAATATGCAATTATGGATGCAAGGCGATGTTTACCTCATTTGAAAATTAGATAAGACATTTATGGGCAATGAACGGGTGAACGACTTGATTTTGGGTCTTCGTCTGCCATGCTTGGTTGCTTGGTTGCTTGGTTTTTTGTGAGGGGAGTGCAGTAGACTGTCTGGGAGTGTGTGGGGTTAGAAAGTGAATCCATTCTCCCTATCAAAACAACTGGAGAATGTAGCCATGAATTGTACTTTTATGAACAGGCTGTGGGTGAACAGTGTCTGGAAACTCAGTTGAAAATATTTCACTTAAATTTTACTAGTAATCATGGGAATCAGGGGAAAAATTTAATAATTTACTTAGTTTGATTTATCCACTGCAATAAAAATAATACGCGGATCCGCATCTCTTATAGAGAGGTAATTTTGGTCTATTTGTTGTTCAAAAATTCACTATATTGCTCGCAGTGTGTTATTTTAAGTCGATTGTTTGAAGCTAGGGTTCTGCGATGCTGAGAGTGCAGTTGCTTTTGAGAGATGGGCCACACCACTTTTACGTAGATGAATTCGCTGTTTGACGTTTCGATATGGAAATAGATTCTACTGAAAACCCGACATATATAAATAATGTATAATAAACCATTCAATGAAACCTTCTTTGTCTTTTGTTGACGAATTTCCCGCAAATTATTGTATCCAAATAAATTGATCAATCCGAATATCACAAATCACAAAGAAAAAAAACTTCTTTTGAAACTGAATGTCAATTAATGATTGAAAACTGTAATATAATTTTGCGAATTTATTACAATTCTGAAAAGAAGGTTTACTCTTCTCTCTAGTCTTTACTGTAGAACCATTACCATTTCTGCCCTGTATTATTTTTTGGTTTCACTGGGATAAGAGTTAGTTTGCTGGTTTGCCAAAGGATTGATTAAACAAAAAAGAAAATATTAAGATAAACAATGTTTTCGTTTTGATCACTTGGTTTTGTCGTTTTATTGTGTAATGTTCATCAGCTTCATTTAGTATGAGAATTTTTTGTTTTTACAGAGACAAAAATATTTGGTAAATTAAGTACTTTTTATAAATCCGTTTCGTCTGCTTTTCACTACAAGCAAAATTACATATATGTATGTGTGTATAGATGTAGAAGTATTACAAACTAGGGAGCGAAAATATTAAAACACTAATACAATACGTTCGTTAAAAACTGACTTAAATAGGCGCTTGCAGGACGCAGGCGACTGCGCTCCGCCCGACGTCTCCTTATCGAACTACAAACTTAACGCTAGCAGAAGTCTTATCACACGCTTACAACGCTGGGACGCTGCACACAACTGAATGATCGCTGATGATCGCTGGGAACCGGGTGCACGAGTCGTGGGACCAGAGCAGAGCAGAAGAAGGAGGAGCCGCGGCTGGAGGACAAAACAGCAGCAGCAACCACATCAAGATGCACCCAGGTGGACAGTCCGATCCAAGAATCCACAGCACCAGTACAACATCCATTGGATCCTAGAGAGAGATCTCCCTACGAGATCCAAGTGTCTGTGTCTGTCTGACCGTGTCTTGGGAGGGAAAGGGGTTCTAGTTGTTCTTGGTTTCGATTTCGATTTCGTTCTCGTTGTGTGGGCTGTGCGGCCCAAATGTGTCGCTCAGAAGTCTATAACTAAAGTTCATTTAACAATTCTCTCGTACATTTCTCACGGGTATTTTCGTCAACGTTTTATGGTTTGCTTTGTTTGTTTCTGTGTGGTATGTTGTATGTTTATGTTTAAGTTTATGGCTTAGAGCTAGAAGAGAGTTCGGTCTGTAAAACTAAGTTCGTCTGTTTCTCGTCTAATTTTCTCTGAATCTCAATCATCGTTTATCACGTTCTGCATAGCAAGTATTAATCAGTTGATCAGGGGAATGGAGTGGAACGGGAATGATATGGAATGGAGTGGATGGTATGGTAGTGTTTCGTATCTTTTGGAAAGGGACTTGGAATGTCGGTTCGAAGTTCGGAAGTTTGGATAATTACGACTGCTATTCCATTCATTACCGGTGCGCTTGCGCTTTTCAATGCTGCAAAAAAAAGATAGAGATAGAAAGAAAGAGTTCATTTCACCAATTTAGTAACCGTGATATGAATGATAGTCATGATAAGAAAAATCATGCTCCACCTCGGGCTCATGTTCCTCGATGGGATGTGAGTGCGATGAATGGTGATAGATGGGGGCGTGGTGGTGGTCCTCCTCGATGTGCTTGTGGATGAACTCGGGCTCCTTGTAGCTAATGTGCTTCTCATGGTACTCGGGCACGTGCTTCTCGATATGGACATGGACGGGCTTCTCCACGGGAATTTTCACCGGGTACGGAACGTGTTTCTCATGCTTGACTGGCACCTCCTTGATCACTGGGTAGGGGGCGGGGACATGAACCTTGACCTCATAGGGCACAGGCTTCTCGACATGCACTGGCACCGGACGATCATAGGGGACATGGACAGGAACTGGCACCTTCTTGATAACTGGCACGGCCACTGGCTTGTCCACGTAGTGGGGGACTGGCTTGTCAATATAGTGGGGCACGGGCTTGTCAACTGGCACCTTCACGGGGTAGTGGACAACCTTCTCGACAGGATAGGGTTTGTCGACGTGCACGTGCTTCTCCACATTATAGTGCACAATCTTCTCAACAGGATACGGTGCTGGGACGTGGACCTTAACCGGCACGTGAACCTTCTTCTCGACTGGGTAAGGGGCTGGCACGTGAACCTACAAGGATATCGTTCGCTTAGGGGCATCGCTTGATGGGCGGATTATCAGTTTAGTTTACCTTTACTGGGACTGGGCGATCGTACGGCACATGGACGGCGTAAGGAACCTTTTTCTCAACTGGATATGGCGCTGCGACTTCATAAGGTACCTTCACGATCTCCTTGACTTCGTAGGGAATGTGCTTGATCACTGGATAGGGCTTTGGAACCTTGACCTTAACGGGCACGTGGATGTGCTTCTCCACGGGGACATGCACGATCTTTTCAATGGGCACGGGCACCGGCACCTTCTTGATCACCGTCAGTGTCTTCTCCTCGTGGATGGGGAAGTGTGGCACATGATGGTGATGGTGATGGTAATCCTCGTAGTGATGCAGGCCGCGCTTGGACTTTGTAGTGTCTTCGCTGGCAGCAGCCTCGGCCGGCTTGGCCTCGGGCTCAGCCTTCTTCTCGTCGGCAGCGGAGCTCTTCTCGCCCTCAGCGTTGGCGTAGCAGGTGGCCAATAGAAGGACCAAAGCCAGCGTTGTCGCTGTGCACTGCAGGATTAAGGAGTACCATTAAAGAATAAGCCTCAACTAGGTTGCTTTGTTTTTGAAAATAGCACTGATCGTTAATGCGTATGGAAAAGTTCGATCAAGGAGCGATCTGCGATCATAGATTGGCTTGAATCACTTCCTTAGTTGTTAACTGATTTAGTTGTACGAAAACAGTCGTGTCATTGTTTGTTCTTTGTCACTGATCCATTTTGTTGATTTTTTCTCTATTTTGAGTCTTTTTTACCACTTTTTCACAGTACACTTTGATCCTCGCATCGAATACATACCATCAACTTCATGTTGCCAAGGTTTATCCTTCGATGGTGGGAATGGAAATCCGTATTCCCTGATTGGGTGGCACGCGACTTGCCACGAACGTCGTAGGGGGCGATTTAGAAGGCGAGAACTGATCCCGTCAGTCGCACGATCAATTTGGAACAGTATCGAGGAGGATTTATCTTATATTGGTTTCGACTCTACACGCTCCGAACCACTTTGGACTGTTGAACGGTTAACGGTTTAATGATGCCAACTGCAGCGCCTGCGCTCACTTTTATAGTTGAATCCGGAGCCAGCGAGTGAATGAATGCACGAAGCGAATGCGCGACTACCAAGCCGAAGAGTAGACAACGGCAGACAACAACCACAGCCACAGCCACAGCGACAGGTACAACAAACACATCAGCCGCTGCGAGCAGCAGTAATAATAATCGCAATAGCCCAAAACACATGCGGTGCGGCGAATGGTGAATGGTGGGTATTTGTGGCTGTGTGGTTGTCTGCCTCTGCTTTTGGTGGTCCGCTCGGCTCGTTGGATCTTGGAGGCGCGAAGTCGACGCAGCCAAGCGGCAAATGCAGCGCCAGCTCCGGCTTAAGAAAATCAAAAATAAGATTGCAATATCAGGTGGCGACCGAGGATCGGGGAGAGGGGTCTTTGATGAGGCAGTGGTACGAGTAGACGAGGGTCTATAGATGCGTGCCATTTTGCTGTTTAATTCGACTACCGTCAGCTGCCGTTTCTTCTCGGTGGTTGTGCTGCTGCTGTTGTTGCTGGAAGTCAATGCACGTAAAAAGCTTGAGAAACCACAAAGCACAAGCAACCGGCACCACAATTTCTTGTTGGTAATTGAATAATACCCAAGTGGATCCGCGGCCGTCGAGCCACATTCAAGTCGCCTTTTGGTGATGAGGCTTTGTTTCAATGTTGTTTTTATGTTAATCGGAGATGATTATGTGCTTGTTACTGATGGTCTTATACGGCTTTTCACTGACTGGAGATGGTTCTTTGACTATTCGACGAAAAGTGTTTGCAATGCCTCGGTCAGCGTGTGGAATGATTCACTAATTGTACTTCCTTTTAAAAAGCAGTACTTATTTTCAGTATCAATTTTGTACATTTTTTATATCCATTAGATTTGTCAAATTGTCCAAAGGTATTGGCATTCGATGGTTGAATCTATTCTTCCAATATTTTAATATCTTTAATTATTTTTATCAGGAAGCTGGACACAAACCAACATTAAACGAATTTCTAACTCAATAATCAATGGAATACAAAAATATATTATTACAATTAATACTCGTATTCCAATTGGAATTTTTTCCTTTCCCTTAACCATTCTGGAAAATGTTTCTCCAAATTGTATGCTCCACTAATCCTTGTGAGTCTTTAAGCTCTTTTACTCCGCTTCCTTCTCTTTTGTTGCCCCTTTCTTTCTGGTAGTGGAGGCAGACTTTCCCCTTCCTCAAGTATCCACTGACAAGCCTCTGACTGCCACTTTGCTTCCTTTTACTTTTTTGGTCCCGCACAAAGCCTACCCCCGCTCACTTGACCAGGACTGGCACGAGCCCGGCCCGATATTCCTGGGCCAGTTTCCGCAGGTGAAGGTAAGGGAGGGAAGCTAGTCGCGAGGGGAGTGTGTCAGTCGGTCATTTGGTTGTGTCATTGCTCCACTTGAGAGTGGGGCCGCAGACGGTCGTCAACCATAACCTAAGACAAGGCGGGTCTGTGTCTCGATTCCACGTCTCCATTTCATTCCACATTCAGCAATTGACACCACCACGGTCCAGTCGTCTCCCCAGTCCGGTCTGGTCTTACTTCGATTGCCTTCCTCGTTATTATGTCAATGGGTCTTCAGTCAGCTGCGGCTTGGCACACATGTGGAGTCCGTATAGAGATATGTAGATGTAGATATGTACTAGTATATTTGTTAGTACGAGTACAATCCAAGACTTGTTACGGCGGCGAATATTTTCTCGCTTTCGTTGCATGCATGCAACTTTCGATTTCGTTTCGTTTCGATTCGCGTTTGTTGCATGTCTTGACCACATTGTTCGATTCACATTTCCCCAGCCAGTCCAGCCAGAAAGAGTTTGGCGAAAGAGAGACAGAGATGGAAAGAGAGCGAGCAGAGAGTGTTGGAAGCTGCCGTTAGATGCTCCAGCTATTGATGATTATGTCATATGTTTGTCGGGATGGTTTGTTCGTGGGGCGACTACTGCCTGGGAGATGATTTTGACTTCATTGTCTCGCCTCATCATAATCAGTTGAAGTGCAATTACTTCCTTGACTTAATTACCACAAATGACAAAATAACACCAGTACACCCTTCTTGGCCTCCTTCTTTGTGTCTTTACATTTAAAAATTATCTCTCGACTGAGGCCTGTCTTCTTCTATGGCGATAATCAGGCTGCAGCTCATTTGGTACATTGTCTGCGGCCTGACCTTGCCGTATTTGGCGATAAACCAAGCTTTACACAAATACACAAATATACTTCTTCTGTGGAAGACAATTGGTGCGGGGCCGCTTTATGCGTCAACAAAAGTGTCAAAGTTTAACCAGCTGTCGATTGATCATCAGCATTGTGGCGGATGATTACGATTTGCATTTTTTCTTTGCTCGCTGCCTGATTTGGGTAACAATTTATTGTCCGCTCCGCTGTCTCCCGAGCATTCCATTCCATTCCGTTCCCATTTTGCGTCGCACAGCGTTTGATGTTGATGTCTCAAATCTTGGACGCCTTCCAACAATATATAGAGCTGTTACCCATGTGGGCAAAACTGACAGTTATGACATTTTATGTGCCATTTACAAAAGTATCTTCAAGTTTGTTGCCGCCTTTACACCGCTGGAAGGTTGTTGCTGTTACTTGCCGTGCTGTATAACTGTTTTCGGGTCTCGGGTCTGGGTGGTTTCACCGTTTCACATTTTGTTCACCATTTAGACGGGGGCACTACAGGGTTCATTGCATTACTGGTCAAGGTCGCTGCCGCTTGGGTCTGAAAAGTGGCCCAGCACAGCAAAAGTAGCCAACGGAAAAGGCTATGTATATGGTGGGAAAAAACCCTACAAGTCGGTTGAAAGTTTGCAGAGGTGGCAGAAAGTGGCAGAGGAAAGGGGGAAGGATACATTTCAGAAATGAGCAAATATTTACGACTTACAAATATTCAGTGCTGTATGCAGATTAATCAATAGATGAATCGAAACAGAAAGTGAATCTCCTTGACACGAGTGTTACATGCTATTGAAAGGGAAACCCCCCATATCAAGGCCAAGTCTCGGCTGACCACCCGATATGTTCATTAGGAAAACAAACCCAACTCACTGTCGGAACTCTTAACTATCCACATGATCTCCCGGCAGCCTGAAAAGACCCTTCCAATGAACTTGCAGACATGTAAAATGCAATGCAATAAAAGTGCCCCACAGTGGGGGAAGTGCGATCAGCTCTACCTTTCAGCTCTCCTCTCCACGTTGAACGCAGTAATTAGAGCCCGATCCGAGCTTACGGTCTGATCTTTACGCATCTCTCGGATGATAAGCAATACAAAACAAAACAAGAAATAATCAGAAAACGAAAGGAAAAGAGGTCAATGCCAAAAGCATTTGAACTCTTGGTGCTTGAGTGTGGTGTGGTTGGTTTATGGCACTTTTTTGGAGTGGAAATTGTTTAGGAGTTTATTATCCGAAAAATGAAGTCGCGATTTGGTCACATTGTCACGCGCCGTTGAACGCTTCGGCTGCGCTCAATTAGGCCAAAGCAAAAAAAAGAAAAATATATAAAATATACATATATTTACAATAGGTATGTATCTATGTATGTAGGGTAGGTTATGAAAAGCTACCCGCTCGCCATGAGATGCAATTAATCAGGTTTGCGGCTTCAAGTCTCTTTTTCGGGGACGGGGATCAAGCTAAACCGATGAATAAGGAAGTCGAAGCTAAGTTGAGCCTTCGACTTCGACTGCGACCCACCTGCGAGTTTATGCAGATTTTTGCCAGAGAGCCAGAAAAACCAGTCAAGGGAAAACTATTTATTAGCGTAATAATTCTGCCTTTGGCCAGTTTCGAGCTGCTCACAGCTGCGAGGGGCGTGATCAGGTTTCTCCACCGAAAGACTTAGTTGACCCATTGACTTAGTCAAAAATATTGCACAGGCCGCAAAAGTGTTTATGAAATATTATGAGGAAAATCCGCTGGCTGTCGTCACTTTTGCAACGGAAATTATTTTAAATATAGACTTCACTTTCGGTTTCGCTTTGGACTTCTACAATCCGTCTTTGTTTTTCTGTTCATAATTACAACAACACCCAAAGCCAAAACAAAGTTGGCAATCAAATGCCAGCCCCTAGTTAATGTTGGTGTAAATTGCGTAAATTCTGTACAAATTATGCTCTAACGTGGCCTATGGTACTGCGAGTATGACTATAGTGGGCAGACATTCGTCCTCGTCCAAGCAATTTATAAATTGTTGGCGTGTTCGCTTTACATTCGTAAAGTCTATTTAACAAAGCTCTTGGCTTTGCTGCCTCCCGAGTCGCACTGAGCTCAAGTTGTGTATGAAATGTATGGCCAAGCGAGAGGTGTTGCAGAAATAGCAGCAGAACAGCTGATATCTTTCGAAAAGAGCCAAATTCTGTATTTCGTATCACTAGGTGCCATGTGCATAGGTCCACTAAAAGATAATATCCAAATTTTCAAAAAAATTATATAAAATACAAATATCAAATTTCAAATATATAAATAGATAAATGTATGTATAATTTTATTCTTTAAAAACTCCACTCGAGCCCCTCGCTCAGTATATACATACAATATAGAGCGTAGCGCAATTAGGCAGCAGCAAATGTCTACAAACTAACCAAAAAACGAGGGGGAACGTTGTGAGTTGCTGCGGACACCGCAACTCTACGGTTATACCCGATACTAAGTCAGTATGGCTCTCCTCCAGCAGGCGGCGTCTAATATTAATCGACACGACAAAGAGTGCGTGCGAGAGAGACAGAAAATCAGT